CCTATTTCTTGGAAGAAGACTACATCTTGGATAATCATCATCAAGAAAATAGTTCTTGATGGGTATAGCCCAGGGGTAGTGGGAGATATCCCACATGCTCTAGATAGTAACTAACCTAGAAGGTCTACCCAGGTATCTAGGCCTCCAGTTCCTTATGGCTATGATCAAGAAAGTTACTTGATGGAAGCCATGATCAGCGAGGAGGATCCCATGACTTATGTGAAAGCTATGTTGGACATAGATTCCTTGAAGTGGGTAGATGCAAGGATCAAAGTATCAGTTTCATCGTATCGAACAACTTGGATACGAATACGGATACGGAAACACTTAGGAAACGCATAGAAACGGACAAAAGATATAGAAACACTTGGATACACTAGGAAAATGCATAGAAATTTCATAAATATATTAATTATATTAATTTTATTGTTAAAATATTTATAAATAATATATAAATACATAGGAGCTTTATATTTTAATGGTATATATGAAGAAATATATTGCAACTAATAAAGAGAAATACATAGATATTATGCAATTTTATTGATAGTGCATCAATCAAGAATCTAAGACATATTATATATATGCTTACAAATTAATACATGCAAGTCATTATTATTTTATTTTCTATTAAAGTCCAATGCATAAAACATATGCAACTATTCTATTTCAATTACTATATTAATATTTCTATTTTACTATTTTTAATTTTTAAAATTAACAAAAAATCAACAAAAAAATAATTCTCAAATAAATATGTTATTATAAAAAATAAATATGTTATTTTCATTTTTAAAAAATAAATATGTTATTATAGAATGTAAAGTATTAATTAATAATTTCTAAAAATATATAATCTTAACTTAAAATATACCAAATCTAATAAATTTTATAGATATATATCATATTGAAATTCATAAATTTTAATTACAAAAATAATTATTTTATTATTAATATTTTATTTTATAAAATTTCTAAAATACAAAATTATTTTATTTTTATATAAATGTAGATTAGTGGAATTGAGCAATTCAATTTATGTTATATTCTCAAATATTTTGTAAATAATATTTTTATTTTTTTAAATAGTAAAGACATTATTATTTAATGCAAATTAAAATATTAATTAATAATTTATAAAAAATTGAATATATATAATGTGCAAATTTATAAATTTTAAGTATTAAAATAATTATTCTACTAATAATAATTTTATTTGTATAAATTTCTTGAAACTAAAAGTCAAATTTTGGTATATATGTTGATTTGATAAATTATTTATTCCATTGTTCATAAAATAATAATTTTAAAATTATTCTTTTTAATTTATAGTTGGAATTGTTGATATATATTATTTATTTGGATTGTATGTAGACTACTAGACGCTAATGTAATAAATGTTAATGTGTTTCTTTTTTTATCAAAAAGTTGTAAGTGCCTTGGTGGTTGAAGAGACATGCTCCTGGTTCTTTTCATAAGTTTAGTTCTATGTTCGAATCACACGGGCCTCAACCTTTTTAAGTGAGACGTGGTTTATACGAAGGCATGGATGCGGGCGCGTGATACGCTGTTGTGTCAGTGCGTATCGGATTGTATCGGTCGATACTATACAATACGCATCGATACAATAGCGTATGGACCAATACGCACGACTGAAAAAATAAGTATTCAATCGTGACGTATCCTGTGCCGATCAGGTCTGATACCGATACAATATGCCCCGTATCGTACGTATCGTATCAATATTTTAATCCTTGGGTAGATGCCATGAAAGCCGAAATGGACTCGATGGAGACCAATAAGGTTTGGACTTTTGTAAACCCACCCCCTAGGGTGAAAGCAATTGGTTGTAAATGGATCTACGAGAGGAAGAAGGGCCCTAATGGTAGTTCACTATAGATCCTAGGGTATACCGATGCCGACTTCCAGTCAAACCTGGATGATAGAAAGTCTACATCCGGTTATATCTTCACAATGGGGTCCTATGCAGTTAGCTGGAAAAGTAGTAAACAGGGGTCCACTGCAGATTCCACAACCGAGGCCAAGTACATTGCCGCAATTAAAGCTGCCAAGGAAGCCGTTTTGATGAACAAGTTCATTCAAGAATTAGGATTAGTTCTATCCAGCACATCACCCATTCCATTGTTGTGTGACAACACTGGAGCCATTGCTCAGGCTAAGGAGCCCCAAGCCCCACTCGAAGTCAAAGCACATCAAAAGGAAGTACCACGTACTGATTCAAAATATAGCATCAGCGAAGAATGTGGTAGACCGATTGACTAAGCCACTGGCACAGAAAGTGTTTGAGAAACACGTGGAAAGTATGGGACCCTGGCTTGTACACGATTGAACCTAAGTGCAAGTGGGAGCTATTAGACAATGTATGCCCTTAACTCCAATCAGATTGATGTACATTTTGTCATTTATTGTAAATGAATAAAGTACATAATTGATTCATGTTATTATGGTGTGTTTCTCTGTAATACGCTTAAACTGAACACTTATGAGACTCATATTAGTTTAGAACCTTCACAACCGTTGGATAGACCTGGAGAGGTTTATCTTGCCAAGGCTGACACTAATGTACTACCAAGTCAATTGGGGTGGCTTGCCTCAACTGCTAGGGTGAGACCTAAAGCACATGTAGTGTGGGTTTGTTTGAAACTCTGAACCGGACCATTTTCCACTTATGCCCTGGACCTTGGTGACAGATGGGCAAAATTGGAAAATTACACCTAACCCCTAGAATCAGTTATGGTACTGTACTAGGTGTTGGATTGGGCTATCCTTGACATGCCAATTAGTGAGATCCTTAACAAGGGTCAAAATCGGGGTATGTTGGGGCAAATTGAGAATTCACATGAGTGGGTGCTCATGGTGATAGAATCAGCCCCTTTATCGAACAAAGTGAATGATCAAGGAATGCACTCTCTCTGATGGAAACCTAAACTGTTAGCAGTTGATTTCAAACTTGTTGAGATTTGTTTTGCAAAATATATTTATATAGAGATATACATATATTATGGTTTCACAAAATGTTTGCAAAAGGTTTTAATTCCCGAAATCCATGTGAGCAGAGAATACAACACTGCACCTTGCAGCCGAGGGAGAGGTCCTCTCTTGTCGGGTAGTGTTTGATCATTATTGGTTGAGAGGTTATGTATCAGGCCATTTAGGGTTTTTACCTGATGGGTTAATCTCACTTAAGTCCATAGTCCTTGGGCCTTCATAAGGTGGCTGGACCCAATGACCATTTAGTGTAAATGTTGGGCCTACTAAGAGCCTATACTGATGGACTCAGGGGTTCATTATATTCAACAGTGAATTCGGTCAAGCCTTGTAACAGAAGTTAGGCTGAACCCATATGGCTTTCGTGGAGATCAATGTTAGGGTCTTACGCCATACAAAGAGAGCCAAAGTAGCCAATAAATTAAAGGGGAAGTGAGCCTGATAACTTAATGGGCCTAAAGCCCAATTCGAACTGGGCTAATTAGATTAATTAATAGTGGGCGAATTTGATATTAAATCTGCTTCTAGATCAACAAGAGGATAAGATGTGTCTTATCCACTCAAGAGTTCGGATCCAAATAGGATCAAAGAACCCTTTCCTGATAGGATTAGGAAGCTGATCCAAATAAGTTATAAATAGAGGGAGAAATCCTTCTATTAAACACTTTTGCATATCCAATTCTTCTCTCTGTTCTTGCCGCCATACCTAGTTCGATCACCATTCTTGGACTGATCAATAATTGTTCTTGATTCTGATTCTTGCTAAAAGAATCAGATATGAAGTTGTGCTCACATCCCCTGCGTAATCCTTGCTGAATAATTACTTTGCTGATCCTACCTCATCCTATGCTCTATCATCTTCAATGGAGGTAGGATTTGATACCCTCTTTAGGCGTGAACACCTATTTTGGGAGCTACTTGCGTGGATTTCGTATCAAATATAACCCTCCCTTAATCTTGGTTTCAGATTTGGTCCGATTTATTTCAAAAACGAACCCTGAAAAATGCAATTTTTCTAAAACAGGGAATAGGATTCCCGAAAGGGAGAAAGAAATTTTTTGAAATTTCACCCAACCACCTTGCATGGTTTGGCCATCCATATAATGGATTTCTCTTCCCTTCAATTGTATGGTTTTAAAATAATCATTGACATGGGCAAACGAACCGTTCACTTTAAGAACCAATCAACTATCTAATTCTATTTTACACTTGCCAAAATAAATGTTAACTTGGTCAATAGTTTGTTGACCCAAATAATTGAACCACTAAATTATTCAACTCATAATTGGTTTTATTTTGCAAAAATGTCATAAGCTTATCATTCAAACCGGGTGATCAAACCATAACACAAAAAATGATGGCCAAAGTGGTTCTATTTTCATGTTGAATTTTAAAGCTTTGCTTAGGCTGCATTTGGCACTCCTTATTTCAAGACTTCTCCTTTTTGTAGTTAAAAACTCAATTTTCCTATCGGCGTTTTAACAGAAAAAAGGAGACAAGTCCAAGGAATGCCAAATGCAGCCTTAGTCAACTTAATTTACTAATTTAGATCACTCACTTTCTTTATGCAATTTACTTCATTTAATTTTCTTGATTAATTTAATTTACTTGTTCAATTGCTTAATTTACATTATTGGCTTAATTTACTTAATTATCTTAATTAGTGCAATTTATTTAATTTAATTAACTTTATTAAAAGGGCCTTTTAAAACTTGAGCAATGCCACATAAGGATTCTTTGTTATTTTATTCATTGCCTATTAGATCTGTCAACGTCTCTAATATCATCTATTTTTTCTTTAAAGTGGCATTGTTTGAGGGCGAAAATGGCCCTTTCAATTTTTTAAAGTCTAATGTGGTTTTTGGCAAAGTTCCATGATTGTGAAGAGCCAAAAATCCAAAAAACAAAATGGTGAAAATGCAATTCCAATCTACCACATCATTTTGGTGAGTAAGAAACTTCGATTGATGATTCAATAAATCCCTCTCATGAATCCCAAACGCTAATCATTGCAACAACCTTATTCAAAAAAAACGGATTGTCAAACATTGTGATTTTCAATGTATGTTGTTCGAAGCTGACAACCAAGTACCTCTCCAAGTTGGAAATTGAGAATTTTTTTCATGTTGACAAATGGAACAAAAAACTTCCAAAATAAGGAGCATGCATATAAAGGGCACTCGATGCCAATCATACAATATACCAGGACAAGGGATGTTAGAGAGAGAGAGAGAGGAGAAAAGAAAAGAAAAAGAAAAACTATTTTTTTATAGCAAAAGCAAAACTGGAGAATATCTAGCCCCACCTCCTTCGGTCTTCCTCCTCATCCACTGGTGTATACCATGCTGGCCGTCTCTTGGAATTGCTCAACCTGTAGTTTAAGAGCACTTCTTCGTCACACAGCCTCCTCGTTGCCACCAGAAGAAGGGACTTCAAAACTGGAACATCTGATCCATCATTAGCTGAGCTCCCATACTTGAACCAAAAGCTGCCAAACCTCTTCATCTTCACCTGTTCTTCATTCCCAAATACCACATTTGGAATGTAGGCTCTCATGTCCTCTTCTGTTAGAGGGAAGTCATATGGGCACACCATGACATTTGGGGCCATCCCCTTTGCGGGATGATTGGCAAAATGACCCAATGCCAATGGGTTCCGCCGCTCCAAAACCTCCCCAGCATTTATTCCTTGACCACTTTTCAGAGGTTTACTAAGCGTCTTCCAAAACCGATCAGAACCTCGCTCAGTATCCACAGACATGATGGGTGCATTGGAACTGACTTCGGGTACAACTAACCCATCCCATAGTTCACGGCTTCCACCACCAGCACCCCAAGGCTGTGCATTGATCACAATCCCATCATACCTAGTGATCAAATAAGGGTTGTGTGCATCAACCCTTGGGTATCCAGGGATATAACGGTAATAAGCTGGGGAGTATATTACACCAGGGTAAAAGGCAACAACAGCACCAACACTAGCTTCACCACTTAAGAATAAGCCTTGGCCAGCTTCCTCGTGGAGAATTTGAGATGGTTTGAGATCAAGAGTGTAACCAATGTAATCTTTCAAACATTGTGAGAGCTCATCACAAGACAGAGCTTTTGTCTCTGGCACAGCTGTGCTGAAACACCAGAAGTCAGTTTCCAGAGAAGCTTTCAACCAGCCTTGATAAATACAGTAACATACTCAACACATGAACTCCAAGAGAAAAATCGGAATCATGCTTTTCAATTTTTTAATGGATATTTCCAAGTATTTTTCTAGAATTAAAGGAAAATTCATGAAAATATGAGTGACAAGGAGTCACCCAGATAAAGAAACAAAAAATAATAAAGCTCCCCACTCTTCAACCCAACCCCCACCCCAAGAAACAAATTTTCCACAGAATTCAATAAAGAAAACCATCCTCCCATCTCTGAAAGAACAATTCCCCCCACCTCCAAACATATAGAAACCAGACTAGTGTTATATTTTATAATGTGAAACACTTTATAAAGAACTTGAGAACAGAAGTTAGAATATTAGATATGTTAATCCAGGCAGACTGGGAGTGTTCAAGGTAGTTTCAGCTTGTTCCTTGACCTTGCCTTTAATTTAGTTCCATTCAACTTTACTGCTGAGAGATGATACCACTGAATTGTCTATTTATATTCGTTTCAAGGATAAACTTCAGAAAAACAGACAGGTGATTGAGAGGAATATAAAAGGACAAAATTACCCTTACAAAAAGTGAGAAATGACAATGTGATAATAGGCCCAGGAGGATGAATTTTGAGGGCTGTGTTCATAACTATTTTCTGTTGTACCTCTGTTCTCTGCTCTGAGGTTTCATTTTCTTCCCAGCAGATTTTCCCTGCTAATTTTTTCTATAATTAAGGGCCAGGTTGGAAGCATATTGATTTTTTCTTGGTCCTTTGAACATGCGGCACTGTCATGTTCTTAGCTTATGTTTGAAGCGTGACAATTTAGTGGAAATTAGATCAATTTTGGGCATTTGATTTGATTAATTGTACCTTACTATTGCTTCCTTAGTTAATTCTTAGATCACAAATTTAGCGTACCTGGTATACTGAATCAGTAAATATTTGAAATAATTGAGGTCAGTGTTTTAAAAGCACAAGGCACAAAAAAAGCACAAGGGCCAATTTGCGCCTGAGGCACAAGGTGCAAGGCGAGGTGCGCGCTTTTTTAAGAAAGGCACAAAATTACAAAAAAAAAGGCTAAAAATAAAAAAAAAGTCAGAAAATTCAAAAAAAAATGCCAAATTTTTTTAAAAATTTCAAAAAATATAAACTTAAATTTTCAAATAAATGATTTAAAAAACCTATTATCTAAAATTAAAATACATAAACATAACACGTAAAGTGTATTCAAATGAAAATTTATAAACAAAAGCAAACATATAAAGCATTTTCAAGCATGTAAAACCCAAAATCTCTTTTTTTCCATAATTGCATTGCTTCAAGTAGTTAATGTGATATAAAACATATTGCATTTTTTATCCTATGAGTCGCCTTTGTACCACGCCCCTCGAGGCAAGCCCGAACAAGTCCATGTTAGGGTCTGAAATTCTTATTTCTCACATAATAAATAATGATTTTATAACTTTCATTGCCTTTTAAGATGTTTTATTGCAATGAATGAATGAACAACATTAGCAAATAAGGGGTTCTCGGAGGTCCGGGGGCGTTGCCTCGAGAGGCATGGTCGAGGGTCTGGGGGCTCCGCCCCCGGCCCCGCTGTTAGACTCAAAATATAAAAGCAAAAAGCCCAAAATTTTAAGAAGGCGCACGCCTAGGCGCGCACCAGGCGCACGCCTTTTGAAAGGGATGCGCCTAGGACCTGGGCAAGGCGCATACCCCAAAATGCACTTCGCCTGTGCCCTAGGCACGCCTCAAGCACGCCTTTTAAATCACTGATTGAGGTAATTGACTTATGACTTTAGTGTTCCTAATGCTACAAGGGATCAAAATCATCAAGCTAGTGGTTCCCATTACCAAGATGAAGTCCACGGTTTTGTTGGTAATGTTGGGGTTATTAATGGAGATCAGGTACCTTAGCCTAATGTTGTGTCCCAACTTAGTCTTGAGAATACTTTTGGGATATATCAAATGCTACAACAAGTGGTTGGACTCGCCTAGCAACAAAACACCACAAATGACATCTCTGCATTATTGAACCAGCAACAACAATAGTGGCAAAACTATCAACAACAATTGAAACAAAACATGATGGCACAGTGGAAGCAACATAATGGGTTTTTAGAATTTAAGAGGATCACTCCACCAGCTTTTGAGGATACCATTTACCTATTAAGGTAGAGAAGTGGATCCAAGAGATGGAGAAAGCTCTTAAGGTGTGTCCAAAGGAGGACAAGGTGGTATATACAACTCATTTGCAACAGGGAACTGCTAATGATTGGTGGACTCGAAAACAGGTGTATGAGGAGAATGAAAAGAATTACACTTGAGATACATTTGTAAAGGCTTTTATGAACATCACTTCCCTAACAGTGTTTGTCAACAGAAAGAAAGGGAATTCATTGATCTAGTGCAAGACAATCAGACTGTAGCAAAATATGAAGCTGAATTCTCCGAGCCTTCCAAATTTGCTATTGAAATGGTGCCAAACCAAGAGAGTCGTGCGCATAGATTTGATGAGAGATTAAATCCACAAATCAAACAAATAGTTGTTGCATTTGAATTGGAGACCTATGCTGAGGAGCTTAGTAAGACACTATTAGTTGAGAGGACATTGCCTAGAATCAAGATACTGGCAACAATAATCAGAAAAGTGACAGGAACAATCTAGGAATCTTGATGACCAGAGATTAGGAAAATAGACCACGAAGTTTGGAAACAAGAATACTAGAAACAAAAATCAACAAGGTGGGGATCCTTGGTGTCATAGGTCCCAAAAGCATCATTCTAAAGCAAGTTGTCGGATCAATGGAACTTATTTCGCCCGTGGCCAGCAAGGCCACAAACTAGTTGACTGTCCTACAAAAAGAAAAATCTAGCATTCAAACATCTCAAAATACTCAAAAGACTACAAGTAACAGAATTGTAGCCACAGATCAGAAGAAAGGAGGTCAGAAGCCTAAAAGTCAAGCTAGGGCTATGCTCTTACTCAACAAGATGCACAAACCTCTAATGCAGTGGTGTCAGGTATCCTCTCCGTGTCATCCACTTATGTGTATGTGTTATAATTGATCCTAGTGCTACTCATTCCTTTGTATTTATGACTTCCGCTAAGAAACATGGTTGAGTATGTATTCCAAGTGAGATTGAGTTATCTGTTGAAACTCCATTTGGGGGTGTATTGATTGTTGATCATGCAAGTCATGTATAGTTAAGGTTGATAATAGGGAATTGTTAGCTGATCTAATGGTACTAGAGTTATGGGATTTTAATGTAATCTTTGGCATGGATTGGCTAGCAACCAATTTTGCCTACATGGGTTGTCACAAAAAGAGATATCTTTCGAATTCCTTAGTAAACCTAAATTTTGCTCTGTAGGCGATGGGGCAAAATTCGTAACTTTTTCACTTTCTTCTCTTATTTTTCTTTATCTCTATTTCTACTTGGTATCCAAGCCTCTTTTAGGGCTTGAGGTCAAAAATGGCATGGAAGATTAGAAGGCTGATCAATTCAGTCGAGAAAGTCCAATTCTTGGATGTTTTGGTGGAGGGTGGCTGTCCAGTGCTGATTGTTGGACAACAGACCAAAATCTGGAGAGAGAAAGTGTCCTACAAGGTCTCAACTAGGTTTTTCAATCTGGGAGTGAGGCAGTTGAGTTTTTCTAGTTCCTAGTGTAGTTTTACTGAGAGTAATTCATCCTGATGCAATTTCTAGAGAATCTGGTGAGATCAACACCCTACCCTGCAGTTTCTATCAAATCAGAAAGAACCCGGGAACTGTCAACTTCCTTTTCTCTTGCCCCAAGTCGGTTTTTTTTCCAAATTGTGTGTTTACACTTCCAAGGGAGATTAATTTGAACTAGTGCATTCAATTGGCCAATGTTCCCTCCATAGGGTTCCAGGTAACCAGTTTTTGACTTTGGACCAAATCGACTAGGTCTAGGAAGTTTTCTATTGCTATCTCTTGGTGTTTTTGGTTGTTTGGAGCATAGTTTTAAAAGGCGCTCAGGTGAGCCAAAACGCCTAGCTTCAGGTGCCTTCTCCCTTACTAAGAGGCTACCACCTCTATTTTTGAGAGGCTTGCACCTCAAATTGGTTAGGTGAAAGCCTCATATAAAAAGCATTAAAACTGACAAAAAAAAGAAAAAAAATATTATAAATTAGTTACAATATTTCTTAAAATTTAAGAAAATTGATTATTTAGTTGTTTATAAATAAAATAAACCAATCTATACTAAAATATTTCAGACGCTCTTAGATTGGATATGAGAATCTTGTCCCCTCACCTGAATTGCTAGCAGTTGTACAAGGTATTCAAATAGCATACCAACTAGGCATGCAGAATCTGGTAATTGAAGGAGACTCCAAAGTTGTGGGCTGGTTGACAAATTCAGGTTCAGTCATATGATGTTACAGGGACCTTTTGAGGAAGCCAACTGGTTATCAAGGAACTTGAATGTCCCGTTACATATGGTGGACAGAACGGCAAATGCTTTAGCTGATTGTCTAGCTAAGCAAGGGGCCTCAAGGGAACAGTTATATTGGGATGCTCTGTTTTTCTTTTTTTGATCAATAACTGTGAAATTTCATTAGATTAGAAAAATAATATAGTACAGTGAGTAGAACCAAAGAGAATATAGTGAGAGATAAAAACAATGCATCTCTCCCCTTAAATACACCGTTCCCTTACAATTGTGCCCAGAATAGAACTTGTTGTCCCACCCCTTGTTTTGCTAGAGAATCAGCAAAGGGTTGGCACTATGCTTGCACAAGCTGACAGAAACTTCCATATCCCTTGTTAGCCATTTGAATTTTTTCTTCTCGTTATTATAGACCCACATCTTCATCTCAGCACTGTGCAGCCAAACCAGTTGTGAATCCCCTTCCACTACTAATTTCCTAATATTCAAGGATCTTGCCCTTTGAACTCCTTCCATCATTGCCAAAACCTCTGCTCTGAGGGAGTCTCCCTCTCCC